TAACTGCGACAATGTAGGATGAGAGCTTAACACGCTAACCACTTGGCTACACTGCCACGAGCGCCTTTTGGGTCACAGGACAAATGTGAATTTTCAAGGAAGGCCAGGCCTTTTTTTTGCCATATCATATTCTTTGGTGGGATTGTCGATGAAGCAAATGTATATTTGCTATAGCAATCGACTACTATACTTTATTTTTCTACTAAAAAGTGGACAGGAAGACCGTCAATTCTGAAGTGTTATCCAAAAGAAAACTAGGATTGTATAAATTCCGGCTGAGTTTGAATCGGAACGGGGTAATAAGGCAAGCGTGATTTTCTTTAGACTCGGTCTGATTCTGGCTCCTACCCACAATTGATCTCAGTCAAATCACTAGCTTGTGGAAAGGAAGTGACCTCGATTTTCACTAGAGATTGTAGAGTGATCACAACTTTTCACTTTCTGAAATCAATTCGATTTAGTGCATTTTATTTTAGTCTGGCTTTCTACCATCTCGTCCTCCGACAGTCTATTGCTAACCTAAAACTAGGTCTCTCATATACTCGTCAGATCACTGGTTCTCTTTAGCTTTTGTGCCATACTTCGAGTCGGACTCAGATTTTCCGAGTTGTAGCTTGGTTCTGAGAATGGCAAGACTCACTGACGATGCCGGCGAAGCGTCTTGGAGTTTACCAAGTCCACGCTCCAACTCTGGAAATAATCATGCATACTATGGACTCAGGACAAGGTGCGTGCCTCTAGGACTTCCTGCCAATGTGACCAAGTTGTGAAAACAAGGTCAAACAGCAACCATACATCAAAAGGAGACTTCGACCAAAATAGAGGCCATAACAGCTTGCTCGTCGTATCATGTTTTCCTGTTTATCAGATACCATTTAGTCAACTCACAACACTCGTAATGCCTCAGATGAGGCTGGTAAACCGGCACGTGGCCGGGCCAACATGTGCAGACCGGCGCCGAACTTGGGGCCCCTCCACCTCCACCAGGCGCATGTCGACACACTGCCCTCCTACCACGGCAGATCAGATCAGCCTGATTGCAGTATTCGCCAATGTCAACTGCGGGGTTAGAGAGGAATAGCAGGGAAAAATATAAATTATATACTCTAAATAAGCAAATAAATAAATTTATTTTGACATTATATGCACACGTATGCAAATAAACGTGAGTAAAATATAAATATTCGACAAAAATATCCTTTTGAATTTATTAATTTATATAGGACTTAATATAAAAAATAATTAAGTTATAAACACGAGGATAATTCACGAGGATAATAATTGTTTTCCTATAGTAACCTAAAATTATAATAATAAATTGTCCTAAGGCCTCCTGCCCTCTCCAGGAAGGGCGGAGCCAGGTGCTTTTTGACTCTGCAGTTGATGCGTCAACAACGAAGTTTAGGAAGCCTTGTTTGCTACCAAATTTCACTGTCTCCTTAACCTTAAAAGTCCTTCTCCATCCAAGTCTGCACCAGCTTTGACCTGGCCCAATAGGTGCAGATTTCTTGGTTATTTCATAAGTCCAGAGTAAACAGGAAGGCTGCTTGGAGGGCGACTTAGCTAGAGTAAATTTAATTGTGAGACGATTTTTTGTATGTGAACAGCGAAATAGGAATTCTATGATACTAAAATGCCTCAATAGTATCCCCGTGATACAGTAATACATAACTAGCCTTCTACCAGGTGGCCACCGTGACAATGTGGCGTAAGCATTAATAAAGACGAGAATAAATGTGAAGTTAGGGATAAGTTTAAATGAAGTTAGACACATGTGAATGTAGGAAATTCCTATTTCTAATTAAGTTAACTTATTTTAAGTGATTACAGAGTGAACTCTTTAAGCCTATATCACAATAAGTTAAGATTTTTCACGGCTTTACACCCATTCCTAATTAGCGCAGGGTCAACAATTAGACTTGCATGTTGATCCGCCTAGTATTGAGAGAACATTTTATCATGAAGATAACCAGGATCTTAGAGAAGTAAATAATGTGTCCGGGTATATAAAACTGTCATTTTGCGAGAAAACGAGGCTGG